CATTACCATAATAGGCCACACCCAACAGCAGAAACCCATTAGGACTGGCTATATTAGGGGTGTGTGGCCTAACATGCAAAGGAGTTCCTGCTACAAAAAAGCCCTGGATTTGGACAACAAACAAGGTTTGACAACAAACAGGGTAAACAGAATAAGAAGCCAAAGGTGGGTGTGGCTGGATGAGCACACTTCTGGTAACATGGGGGTGTGGCCTAATATGCCAATGAGCTGTGCTGTCAGGGGTGTGGCCTAATATGCTAATGGGTTTCTGCTGTTGGGTATGACCTATTATGCTAATGAGTTCTTGCTGGGCTTTTTCTACAAAAAAAGCCCTGCATTTGGCAGTCCCCTCTCAGGACTAACCCGAACTGACCCTTTTTAGCTTCCAAGATCTGATGAGATGAGGCTAGCCTGGACCATCCAGGTCAGGGTGACCTTCAGTCCGATTTCCTTCCCAGGTCTTGCTTAAAAAGCCAAGATTCCACCCGCTCTCCAGCTGTTCAACTCACCTTGACCTTGTATTGCCAAACCATACGCCAGAAGTCAAACACTGTGAGCTGAAGAGGTCCTTGTGTTGCGATGTAGCATCTCTTGTTATCCACACCCTGTGAGGAGGAAGGAAATGGCAAACATGAAGAAGAAGAGGAGGAGGAGATTGGATTTATACCCCACCTTTCACTATCCGAAGGAGTCTCAGAGCAGCTTACAATCTCCTTTCCCTTCCCCTCCCCACAACAGACACCCGGTGAGGGAGGTCTTTCTGAGAACTGCTCTTGAGAGAACAGCTCTGAGAGAGCTTGTGACTGACCCAAGGTCACACCAGCAGCTGCATGTGGAGGAGTGGGGAATCAAACTCTTGTCTCCCAGATTAGAGTCCCAACCACTACACCAAACAGCACCTTCTGTTCTGCTGCACAGCTGTGCCCATAATTTTGCTGGAGAATACGATCGGCATTGATGGGAAGGGGGAAAACTCCTCATGTGGATGAAAGAACATGCAATGTAGAAGACAGAGGGGGCAACTTATTCAGCATTTGCATGAGCTTAAAGCCTTTGGACAGTCATGGCTTGTGTGGTGAAGCTCAGGGAATATCTCATATTGGCCTTAGTGATGGGTGATGGGCGTTGAAAGTGGATCTACCATGTCCATAGCTGCTGCGAGCTTCTGAATGTCAAGTGGAGCCTGGTGTGAGTGTGGACTGATGACATCACTTCCTGCCACGGGGCTTCACGCCTTCAGTGCTGAACAGCTGGAAGGACTGGCTCTGCCCATCAGCCATTCTAGGGGTAGGTAGGTAGTTCGAGGGGACTAGGTAAGGTGGCTGATGGACCTGCCAGAGTCTGGCTGGACGCGGCGAGTGTTGGTTACCTGGATGAAGTTGGCATTGATATAATCCGTCTGTCCTTCCTCCGTCAACAAATTCAGAACAACTCTGGTCTGATCGTCTGTGGGAGGCAGACATTTTGGAGTTAATGTCACGGAGCCCTGCTTCCTGATGGGGTTGGCTTGCTGAGGGTCTCAGGATGTGTCTCCAAGACAGTGGGAAACAGGAGGGACGATTCCTCCTGTTCAACCAACCTTGGAAACCTGGGAGCAGGCCTATAGCCAGGATTTTGTGGTTTGTGGGGCAATTTTTCCCCCTGGTAGGGTTGAAGTTCTCAGTGCAGAAAGAAAAGCCAGATTTCTGAAGATTATGACGCAACTCTTCTCAAGCTGCCTGTTCTACAAGGGTGTTCTTTTGCTAGTCATCACCCTCAGCCTCTTAACCAGTTAGCCAAAAGAAAGCTGTTACCAGGATAGATCTCTAAAATGCAAGCTGTCAACCATTTTAGATGACAGTTCTCAGCTGCTGCAAGTTAATCACCTCTGCCAGCCTAAGCAGCAATTCTGATAACAAGCTGGCAGGTGGGGGGTGATGACTTCTACAGTCAAGAAAGCTAACACTTAGGCAGAAAAGCTCTCTTGAAGGAGACCAGTTTCTGGACACAGAGTTAGACGGGATCCTAGAGGTCACCTACTCCAACCCCCTTGTTCAGTGCAGGAATTAGTCAACTACAGCTTCCCACTCTGCTTAAAGAGCGCATGCCTTTAAAAATATGTTTTAAAATGACTGAAAAAAGCATTTACAGGAGAAATTCTTGTGGGGCTGTGCCTTTAAGAAAGGGGGTGGAGCCCCCAACAGCCTCACCCTAGCTATGGGCCTGGCTGGGAGGTTCCTCCAGCTACTTCTCTGGTGGAGAAGAGCTTGCAACGTGGTTTTATACCTTGCTAAACCAGGACTCACGTGGCAAAGGAAGACCCAGCATCGACGCTGTTTGCATCAACATCCAACAAAGAAAGCAGTCCAGCATCCGTACCACTGGCTATGGCGGGCCAATTATGCTCCCTAAATCCAATGATTTAGGGATTAACTACAAATTACAGTCTGTTTAGGTCTTCCCCGGATATATACTCAGGTGTGCATTGAGAGTTTTGTGCCGGGAACCTAACTCCCAAGCAGTTGTGGGCTGATATGGATAAGGACCGTACCACGTACAGAGAGGGGGTGCTTAAGCCTCCCCTCCCCCCCGTGCCATTTTTGTGACTTGAAATGGCCCTGGAGGGGTACTATGTGCTGCATGTGAGTTTCGGTAATGGGTTAACAGCTCCTAGGGGCCATTTTGGGACAGGGAACCAGCCTGGGGAGCGGCTTAAACACCCTGTCCCCGCATGTCATTATTCTGATCCAAATCAGCACCTGGGAATTGGCACATAACTCTCAACATATGTGATTGTGTGGACCCTGGAAGGACACAAGGAAAACATAATGGTGCCTAGCTGTGTCTAAATGCAGGCCTTATCAGTTGACCCAAGAACATTCACCTATACAAATATGCCCTCAGCCGATCTTGAGATAGCCAGGGAAAAAAAATCTCTGCTAGGAATAAGGCTCAACAGGAATTGTTGACCTGGGTGACTGGGGCCGTATTCCTCCAGAGTCAACAGAGGGACCAGGGTTTTGGCATTTCATATTTAGAGTTACCAACCTCAAGGTAGGGCCTGGATAGGGTTACCAAGTACCTACCGCAAATCGGCGGGGGACATGTGCTTTCCTGCCTGCAACACACCCGCGTCGCACTATGCTGTTGCCCAGACGTGACGTCAGCATGCTGGGCACGTAGCCGGGTGACGCTCTGGCAACGAGGCTGAAAACTCGATGGTACCATCGAGTTTTCAGCTCCATTGCTAGAGCGTCGCCCGGCTACGTGCCTACGTCACGTCTGGGCGACAGTATAGTGCGGCGTGTGTATTTTCCCCACGGGGATGTTCCCACCAAGAACTGTGTGCCCCCCGCCGATGCGCGGGAAGTACTTGGTAACCCTAGGCCTGGAGTTCTCCCGGAATGACAACCGATCTCGAGACGACAGAGATCAGTTCCCCTTGAGGAAATGGTAGCTTTCGGGGGTGGACTCTATGGCAGTCTACCCCATTCTGAACATCTCCACTGAGCTCCCTTCCACTCCCAAGCTTCACCGGCCCTGGTGTTGCTCTGTAGGATATTGTAGCAGGAGCTCCTTTGCATATTAGGCCACACACCCCTGATGTAGTAGCCCCAGTAAGAAGAGCTCTGTAAGCTCTTGGAGGACTGGCTACACTAGGGGCGTGTGGCTTAATATGCAAAGGAGCTCCTGCTACAAAAAGAGCCCTGGATAATGCCATGCAGTCCACCTTCCAAAGCAGCCATTTCCTCCAGGACAAGCGGGATCGAATGTTTTAAATACATACTTTATAAATAAATGTGTCGTCTGGAGATCAGTTGTAATTCCAGTAGACCTCCAGCTCCTACCTGGAGACTGGCAACCTTAGGCACTGCCCTCAAATCTCCAAGAACCTCCAAAGCCAGAGTGGACAACCAGGGGACCAGCAGAGAAACCAAAGAAGAACATGTACTTCCTATTCAGAAGGTCCCCAGCCTGACATCTCATGTTTTAAAAAACAAATGAGCTCCCAGCTACTGAAAAAGGCCCTTCTTCTAGCTGAAACGCCAGACAACCACTGCCATCGGAGCAGACAAGAATGAGTTGGATGGATCTATACAAATAATTTGACATTTCCTTCAAGCTTCCTGGAGGCTGGGGGAGTAGCCCTGATTCTGTGAACTTAGGCAGATCACGAGAAGGGAGGGCAGGAAGGGTTGCCTCAGTGCTTAGTTCTTGTGGCCCTTTCTTACACGCCCAGGGAAATGCTGATCGCCTCTTTGGGGTCAGGAAACAATCTTCGTCCAGGCCAGTTTGGCCAAGGATCCTGGAGGGTTTTTGTTGTTGTTGTTATCTTCTGGGCCTGTGGCAGGGGTCACTGGGTGTGGAGTGGGAGGTATTTGTGAATTCCCTGCATTGTGCAGGGGGTTGGACTAGGCGACCCTGGAGGGTCTATGATTCCATGACCAATGGCCTAACTTGGTATAAAGCAGCTTCATATGTTCCGCATGCCCTGCGGACTTTGTGGCACAACGGCTTTCCCCTGAGAAAGTTCCTGGAGCAATTAGTTTTCCCCAGGGAAAGTAGGACAAACCTCTCCATTAGTCAAACACAGTCTTTGTCCCAGGGGCCAGCCCAACAGAGGGAGGAGGGAGGCGGCTGAATATTTTTAAAGCCCTGGTCTGCATCCAAGGAAAAGTCCCTCCCAGTCAACCAAACTTGGAAACCTGGAAGACCGTACGGCCACCAATGTTCACCTCCACCCATTTCAGTCAAGTAACTTCCTCTGCCTACTTCAGTTGAGTGGCCTGGCCTCCTAATTGGCTGAGAGCTCTATCTCTGTTGAACCCATTCCATTGCGGCTAGTCTACATGTAAACCAAGACAGCCAAAGGGTGGAGGGAGGCAAGGCGAGGGAGGAATGTGGTTGCACAGCTTGCTCTGTGGAGGAGGAGGAGAGTCAGGTGGGGAGGTACGAGAACGGCCTGTAACCAGGGCATCTGGATTCCTGAGAAGGGAAACTTCCATTCCTGCGTGACAATCTCCCGACTCACATGGCAATATATCCTTGTAACGGTTCTTCTTGAGGTTCTCCTTGCTGCCCCCGGCCTCTGTCGAAATGCTCTGCTGTTGCCGAAACGCCGTCGCCCGGGCTTTGATTTCCTGCCGAGAAACAGGAAGACGAAAGTCGAATGCGGCAAGAGAGGGTTACCTTGAGTCAAGGAGGAGGAGGGCGTATAGACAGTAGCCCGTTTCCCCAACTCTGTCCCTGGTCACTAGGAACTTTTGGACCTCTCTCTGACCGAAATGACACATTTGTTGCAACAGAACTAGGTTGTAGAGTCCTGAGGCGGAAGTGGATGCTACCACTTCACACTGGAGGTAGCGGAGACCATGTTTGTAATGCTCGACCATGTTTTCAAAAGCCATCCAAATAAAAAGCTAGTGAGTTTGGGAGTTTTCTGAGAATTGATTCGTCTTACCGCAAACCCTATAATGAGGGCCAGTACTGTAGACTCCCTAACCATAGAGTTCTGGAGAGGACTTGGGAAGGTTTGAAGAGACAAGCACTCATCGCTATCCCAAATAAGTATTTTAATTTTTAAAAGCCTAACAGTGAAGACTGTTCTGTCTCAAAATGTACTGTGGTTTCCAGAGGTCATTTCGGGGGGGATCGCGGGGGATCGCAGTTCCCCCGGGTGAGGTACGGGGGGCGGGGCACATGACGAAGCCCCGCCCCCTGCTTCCGGCCGCCCCGCTTCCGGCCCTCATTCAGCCAGGAGGAGGCAGGAGAAGAGGGGAGGGTAAGTTGCTTCCTCCCTGCCTCTCCCCACCCCTGCCTGCCTGGGGCCAGAGAGGGCCTTCGCGGGCCTTCCTTGCACTCCCGCCGGCCACCGTTGGGGGTGGGGGGTGTGGCCTTATGACACACTTCCGGTGATGTCAGGGGGTGTGGCATATGCTAATGAGTTATGCTAATGAGTTCCCCTAGCTCTTTTTCTACGAAACGACCCCTGGTGGTATCTCCCCTGAAGAGGTTTTTGATACCCACCAACTGGTATTAATGTCACTGCTTTGATAAAATGGCACAGGGCCAATGTTCCCCCTAAGCTGTGGAGTCTAGTGAGCAAAAATTCTACTTTCTGAGCTATTGGCATCAAAGTTTTGAGCGAGCAATTTGGCCACTGCATAAATTAGTTTGCTCTGGAGCCATCCCTTCCTGAGCTAAGACAAAATGTGTGAGCTGGAGGCTAAAAAAAACTGTGAACTAGCTCACACTAAGTCAGCTTAGAGGGAACACTAGCCCCCTCTCCTGCTCTGACCACCACCAGACCCCTCACTCATACCGTCCTTCCCACCCATCCACGTTCCGACCTGTGTGTCCTTCCTTCCCCCAACCATTTCTGTTCCTTCCGTTTCCCCAGTGCTGCTGGTTGGTGTGTGAAGACAGGAACACCACCACGAATTCAGGGCTCTTTTTGTAGAAAAAGCTCAGCGGGAACTCATTAGCATAATAGGCCACACCCAACACCAGAAATCCATTAGCCTATTAGGCCACACCCCTGCCAGCACAGCTCATTGGCATATTAGGCCACACCCCCGTGTTACCAGAAGTGTGGTCATCCAGCCACACCCACCTTTTGCTTCTTATTCTGTTTACCTTGTTTGTGGTCAAAACCCAGGGCTTTTTTTGTAGCAGGAACTCCTTTGCATATTCGGCCATACTCCCCTAATGAAGCCAATCCTAATGGATTTCTGCTGTTGGGTGTGGCCTGTTATGCTAATGAGTTCCTGCTGGGCGTGGCCAACTTGGGAGCCAGCCGGACCTCCGTTCCTGTGCGTTCCTGCCCCAAAATAGCCCTGACCACAATGCTTCCCAGAAGGGCCACCCTTGGACACTACCTGCGAGTTTTTCTGTGGCAGCACGTGACTGGGGGGCTCTGAAGCAGTGCCCCACCTCAGGGTATGCTGACGCCGGCCCTGACATGTCTCTACCCTTTCCAGCTGATTTTGGAAGTGGTGGACTATAAGGGAAGGGTTCATTGTGGGAGAGACTCGTGACTGAATTGTACCCATGTGATCGGGACACTTAAATGTTCTCTGAGTTACATAGAATCCATTCACAATTAGGCACATAGGCAAATGTCAAAAATGCATTTCAGTGGTGCCGGTCAAGGTCAAGGTTCCCCTTGCTCGAAAGCCAGTCGAATCCGACTCTAGGACGGCGGTGCTCGTCTCCGTTTCCCAGCCGAAGAGCCAGCACTGTCCAAAGACATTTCCATGGTCATGTGGCCGGCATGAAAGGCAGGGCTCCTTTTGTAGAAAAAGCCCAGCAGGAACTCATTAGCATAATAGGCCACACCCAACAGCAGGAACTTATTAGCATATTAGGCCACAGCCCTGACAACACAGCTCATTAGCACATTAGGCTGCACCCCCGTGTTACCAGAAGTGTGGTTATCCAGCCACACCCACCTTTTGCTTCTTATTCTGTTTACCTTGTTTGTTATCAAAACCCAGGGCCTTTTTTTGTAGCAGGAACTCCTTTGCATGTTAGGCCACACACCCCTAATGTAGCCAATCCTAATGAGTTTCTGCTGTTGGGTGTGGTCTATTATGCTAATGAGTTCCTGCTGGGCGTGGCCAACTTAGGAGCCAGCCGGAACTCCGTTCCTGTGTGTTCCTGCCCTGCTTGAGTGCAAGAACCACCCACTTTGACACCCATGGCAACTTAACACATCAACATATGCTGTACTGGGAGTGATGTTACCTGAATCCTCCCCACGTTTTGGTATCATTAAACTGTGTTGACCAACGATGTCTTGCTTAATCTTTTTCCCCCTTAGCTTTTAATTTCAGTTGGGGAGGTGAGGACACCTTGTTCCCTGATCTCCTGTCATGGACCTGATGATCCAGGCATCAGCTTACAGATTTCATATAGACACGTGGGTGGTGATTTACAGGGCCATTGAAATCAATGGGGCTTAGAAAGGTATAACTCTGCTAAGTGTGGCCCTGTAAACCACCACCCACATATGTCTATACGAAATCCCGACACCCAGCAATAAGATCTGCACAAATCCCGCAATCACAAAATTTCAATCTAGGGAAGGAATGGTTGCGAACAGGGATGCAATCAGTTCCACCCAACATCCATAACCTGATAAACACCAACAAGAGGCTCACAGGATTTGACTTGCCATGTAAAGTATGGATGACGGCTAATAGAATATGAACAGGCTTTGGCAGTTGTGCAGACCTGTTGTTTAAATGGGGCAAAATACCAGGGCCCGCCAAACTGTTTTCAACCTGTCACAGGAATGTGAGCATCGTGCTTTCCAGGGAGATGTGATGGAGCTCTTTGAACTCTCCCCAGCTGCAATTGAGTGGATTGAAAATTTAGATATTAGTATTTAGGGGGATTGCCCAATCAGTCTGCATACCCATTGTATCAGCTCGGTTACAGATTTTATATTATTATATGCTCCCTGTGTGTAACTCTGCCATACGGTAAATTAATAAATAAATGGCCCTGTCAGATACCACCCAGAGCACATAATGTTGGAGAGCTTCCGTGTCTTCAGGGAACTTGAAGTCGAATGTGGAGTTGATAAGACAACTCGTTGTGGCAATGGAGAATCCCTCCTCCTATCAAAGTTGGATCTGGGAACCAACAGTCTGAATTCTCCAAGGTGCATCTGCTGTCCCTAACCTTAGATGCCAATGAGACCACCAAGAGATTACAAAATACCAAAGGACTGCAGGGATCCAGGCCAACGTCCTTTTAATAGATCCATGGTCCCTTTAAGAGATCAATATGGTCTGGAGACCAGCTTTGTGGTACAATGTTCTATCCTGCATTGCAGAAGTAGTTGGAACCAGGGGTCATTTCCTGCAGCAGCGCACAGGAGCGACGCTCCGGCAGTAAAGAGCCCAGGGGGTGGGCACATGCAACAAGCCCCACCCCCTGCTCCCAGCAGCCCTCAGTCAGAGCAAGAAGCAGCCAGGTAAGTTGTAGAGCCCACCCACCCCCCCGGTTCAAAACAGTCCAGTGGCACCTTTAAGACCAAGTTTTATTCAGGTACAAGCTCTCCCTCTGCGAAGACAGATCTGCACGTTCCCCCTCCCCCCGCATAGCTAGCAATCCAAAACAGTCCAGTGGAGCCTGAGCGGTGGTGTTGCCTTCTGACACACTTCTGGTGATGTCAGGGGGCGTGGCCTATGCAAATAAGTTGTGCTAATGAGTTATGCTAATGAGCTCCTGCACCTCTTTTTCTATGAAATGACCCCTGGTTGGAACAAGTCGTCTTCTGCTCTGTCTACAGTCTTGCAGGCCTGTGCCATACTACTATGGTTAGGCAAAGTTTGAGGGCTTCCTCAAAAGGGTTGCCAGGCTTTGCAATTCACTTTTGGGTCCTGACCCAGAGGTTGGGAAACGCTGAGCTAGGAGACCGCATGGCTCCATCAGTTATAAGGACTGATGTGACACTTCCTTTTAGAAACAGAAAGAATGCTTCAGCCCAGTGACCATTAGGAGATGACCCCCGTTAACCCTGCGGGCTCTTGGAAATGACCCCGTTAACCAGAAATCACTGCCTTGATCCCTGACGCTCTTTACAAAATCGCACAAACTTCTGTTGAATTTATTTTTAGAACAGAGACGGTTCCTCTGACCCTGCCAGGATCTCCGGAGCAGGTTCTCCCGGTATAACACTTGTGTCTCATCCCAAAACTGGTTGAGACACTTAACAGATTTCTGTCTAGGACTCTGATCTCCACCCAAAGTTTCACCAGGTCAGGTGGGATGTGATGTAACACCCGACTCTGCCCTGGAGGCATGAGGCTCCTTAGGAGCGGTTAGTATTGTGTGTCTTTGAGCTATGCTATACGTTGCACAGGCAAGGTTGCTAACTGACCAGGAAAGAAAATGTCTTGTTCCTTTCACAGCGGTGGTGCCAGGAACTGCCGTCAAGTCGCAGCCAACTAATGGCAACCCCATACGGTTTTCAAGGCAAGAGATGTTCAGGGGTGGTTTGCCATGGCCTGCCTCTGCCTTGTGACTTCCTTGGTGGCAGGGCCGGCTCACTCACTAGGCGAACTAGGCAATCGCCTAGAGCGGGCCGGCCCTTAGGGGCGCCAAGCTGCACCCGGCCCCGTACTCTGGG